TTTTAGACAGCGGCTAGCTCTGTTGCCTGGGTGGGAATGCAATAGTGTCATCATAGCTGACTGCAACTTCAAACTTGCTGGGCTTAAGTGATCCTCCCTTCTTTCAAGTAGCTGGGACTATAGGTGCTCACCACCACACCCGGCTAATTTTTAGATATGTTTTTGTAGAGACAAGGTCTTGATATGTTGCTCAGGCTGGTCTCAAACTCCTGGCCTTAAGTAATCTTCTTGCCTCAGCCTCCCAAGTAGCTGGACCTACAGGCATGCCTGGCTGTATATTTTCAATTTGGATATAACAAAATTATCTTTTGACATAATTTTCACTGTCTACTCCCACTTTTGATGTCACTAATCTTCCTGCCACCTAGGATTTGGATATTGACAGTGGGAGCTTTGTTTATGGGGGGTCATCCCCACAGACTGCTGGTACTGGAGAAAATGTAAAGCCAGAAGAAAAGAAAATTTTGAGGGCCAGAGAATAGACGCTTCGGGGGCTTGTACGTGGTTCCATAGACTAGGGTAATCTGGCATCCTGGACAGCATCATCTTTCTTTGCCAAGATCAACTGGAGCCCAGATCAAATCTAAATGTAACCATCTCTAAAATGGGGATAATCTTCATATTTATTTTCTTTTCACAGATATGAATATAAATGAAATTTCATTGTCTTGGTCATTAGGAATTCTCTGAAGGGATGTTACTATGTAAACTGTACGAACTCAGAACAGCAGAGTTCAAACTTGATCAAAGCAAAGAAAATTGTAGAGCAGCAACCCCTTTATGTCATTTTAACCGCTTTTGTATAACCAAATGTTTCTAGTGCCAATCAGTGGGAAAGAAGAGAGCTTCTCTTTTAATTGTTTTAGAGTTTTGTTTGTCTATTTGGAGTTTTTTTTTTAAATCTGAAGATTTATGGAACAATAAATGCCATTTAATGCTGTGTGGTATTTTGGATTTCTCATTGGTTTTAGAATTTATGTAAAAATACTCAGATTAAATCGTATCAAGTTTGAAATTACACTGAGAAGTATTGGTAGTTGATCCCAGTGAAACAAATTGTGGCCTCAAAGCAGCGTGCTACTTTGTTTTTTTAAATAATAGGATGTAGACATTTTAGTATAATAAATGTTTTTAAACTGTTTGGCGGGGGGTAGCCAGGAAACAAGTTTTAAGAATGGTTTGGTTTGGCTCCTGAATGATATTATTAATATACCACAATGCAAATTTTGGCCATGCAAGTGGGCCAACTTAACAGCAGTCCAAAACAAAGCACGTTCACTCAAAAGTGTGAGAGATCAGTTGTAAACAGGCCCCATCTTTTTCATAGTATTCAAAAGTCCAACCTTGTTTCATTCCCCTGGGAGCTGGAGAAGCTTGACTTGTGTGAACACCTCCTGACTAATGGGGTGGGGGCTTCTCTTTCCTAAGCGCACAGCCTGGCTTCCAGAAGCCTGGGTGCAAAAGAGGAAGACCTAGAAAGACAACCAAAGTCAGCGAATTTGTCGAGTGCCTTCCTTCCCCACCTCCAGCCAATTCTGCTTGCTCCTTCCCAGGTGCTCCTCGTTCTCCAGAGTTTCTGGCAGTTTAAAGTTTCCGCTCCCCGCCCAGATTGCTCCAAGCGCAAAGGCGACCTCCTTTTCCTCTTTTAGGGCCCTTGCCCCAGAAGGCAGGTTCAGTCCCCTCCGTGAAGTTGTTCCAAGCCTGAGCCTCTGCCCTTACTCTTCAGGCCCACCCTCCTCCACCTTCGAAGTTGCCCGTCGATGCCCGACGGTCTGGGGATCGGAACCTCGTCCCCGTCTCCCGGGGCAGCTGCTACCCAAACCGTGCAGCGCCAGCTCCGCACAGCAGTGAATCGCCATTCACTCAACTCCCGCGCGGGGCTGAGAATCCGGGAGCGGAGGCGGAGGTTGTTCCAAAGCCTCCGAAGCCCCTGCCCAGCGCTGAGTCCTGCACCAGGTGAGGAGTCATTACACATTAGCGGGCAGGATTAGGCGAATTCACACCAAGAGGTGAATGACTGAGCTCGGGGCCTTCCTCGGATGTTGGTATTTTAAAAGAAGCTGCTTGGTAACCCGGAAGAATATGAGTGGGGGACTGTGGTGTAGACCTGGTTGGAGTTTGGGGGCTGGGAAACTCCCTGTCAGGATGAGGGGCTGGGGACTCCGAATGCTGTGTCTGGGCCCTGCCAGTCCTGCTTTCCCGAGCATTGTTCTACCCGGAGCCCGACGTCCGGCCCTTCTCAGTGGCGAGCAGCACGTAGTAGCTGCTGAATAAATAAATGCTTGGCGGAATGAGAGACGCTCCGCGTCCCCTCCGGACGGATCCAGGGCCTAGGAAAGTCTGGCCTCTGGCCCGCTGCGTGGGCTCCCTCCAGCGTGGCCGCCCACACCTTCTCGGCCACGGCGGGGCTCCGGGTGGGGCACTTCCCGGCGGGCGGCTGGACGGAAGGGGCTGGATGTTGGCCGCGTCCACGTCCAACCGCCCTCACCCCAGCAGGGCAGGCCAGCGCAGAGCGCCCTCTGTGGGCGCCGGGACCCCGCGGCTGGAGCGCCCCGACGCGGCGGGGGAGGCTCGGTGACTCCGCGCCCCAGGCCCGCGCGTGGCGGGGGGTGGCCTAGTCGCCTCTCAGGGCCAGGCCGGACTCTCCCCCGCGGGCCCCTGGGGCCAGCAAGTTGCGGCGCTCTCGGACCGCGGGACCCGCCTTCGCTTTCCGCCGCGCGGCCCGCGGTCTCCGCTGAGGTCACCGAGGGCCAGGCGCCCTGCAGAGGCCCCGCGGGCGACGCCGCCCTGGACAAGCCACGGACGGGCTTCCAGCGCTTTCGGTGCTTTTCACACTTTCCCACTGTCCCGAACCGCATCCGGGGTCCCGAAGGGGCTCTCGGCGCGGCGTGGGGGAGCCTTTGTGCCCTCCCTGTTTGTTGGGACTTTTTCTTCCGAGGAGAGCTTCCCCCACCCCTTTTCCTCTCGAAAGTCTTGTGGTTTCCCTAGAAGACGGAAAGAGCTTGAGAAGGTTGCGGAGACTTCTTTTTTGCAATCTTTCCCGTCCAGACACTAAAAACCCTAGGCTTTTGGCCGTAGGGAGATATTTGGGGTCAAGGGAAGGGAGAGAGCAATGCATTCCTTCGCCCGCCTCCCTCCCACCTGGTCCCTCGGCTCCCCTCCCCCGTCCCAAGCTCCGGCGGGCGCTCAGGCTCGCGCAGCGGCCGCGGCAGCGGCAGGGTTAAGCCCAGGAATGTGGCGGCGAGGAATGTGCATGCTGATGAGCCGCGCGCGGGGCGGGGCGGGCCCGGGGCGGGGCGCATGCTAATCGCATGCAAATGAGGAGGCCCGTCGCCGCCGCGGCCGCCGCTCCGCCGAGCTTCCCGGATCCGAGCCCAGACGGCGGCGGCACAGGCAGCCTGGGCGCCGCGACCCTCGGCGGCCACAGGGGGACGGGGAGGAGGAGGAGGAAGAGGCGGAGGCAGCAGCGGCGGCGGCGAGGAGGAGGAGGGTTCGATCGCCTGCTCCGACGCAGACATGGTGGACTAAGCCCCAGCGGGGCCGAGAGCAGGGCTTCCTGAGGCGCCTCCCGCGCGTGGTTCCGCCGCGCCCAGCACCCCGCAGCCCCTCGCCGGCGCCCGCGTCGGGGGCAGCGGCCGGGCCGGGCAGTCGCGTTCCCGCCGCGTCCCGCGCCCGGTCCCTATGGAGGCGCCGCTCGCCGGCGAGGCCGCCGACCATGCCTAGGAGGGCCGGGAGCGGTCAGCTGCCGCTACCCCGGGGCTGGGAGGAGGCCAGGGACTACGACGGCAAGGTCTTCTACATCGACCACAATACCAGGAGGACCAGCTGGATCGACCCCCGGGACAGGTGGGCGGCCGGGCCGCGGGTGGGCGCGGGACCCGCCTCGGAAGCGCGGCGGTGGCTGTTGTCCGGGAGACCCGGCCGGGCGGCGGCGCCCGCGGCGCTGGGGGCGTGGGGCGTCGCCGGCCCCGGGGTGCCCGAGGGGTCCCAGGAAGGAGACGCGGGACCGTCGCCCTAGGTGGGGCTGCGCCAGCCGGCGAGGCGCCATGGAGGGGCCCGTTAGAGCCGCCCCTCCCAGGGCCCCTTTGCCTGCCCCCTTCCCGACGCCCCTCCGGGACTTTTAGACGCTCCTGGCCCTGAGGGAAGGGTGGAATTGGTGCCCTGGGCTGGCACTCCACGTCCAGTTAACGGACCTCTAAGGGGCTACCTGGGCCCTGTCCCAGGCTAGCCTCCCCCTAAAGTTGGCCAAATTGAGGCTGGAGGGCACGTTCGGCCTGTGGGAGGCGGGGCTGGGCTGGGCCTCTGAGGCCTGTACCAGGTGGGGAACTAACTAGCCATCCAGGTCACCTGTGGCATCTCTCAGGCCGTCCTTGTCTTCCAGGTCTTGACTTTAAGTTCTTGACCGGTGCGCCCCATCCAGGCCAGAGGTCCCGAGCAGGGAAGGGAATGCTGGGGCCTGGGAGTGGGTGTAACTGGCTTTGCCCCTCAGATTTTAGAAACGCTTGTTTTGAGGTTTTACTACCTGCTGTTAGTCTTCACCTGAAAACTTGAACTGACTCTCAGATCCTGAACGCGGGCAGATTCTGTTTGGAAGTATGAAGTGGTGAAATGAATTGGGTATTGAGGAACTCTGACTTGAGCTTAGCCTCGTTTGTTTTTTTAGTTCTCAACGCACACATTTTATTCCCGCCTGGAGGTGAAGAGGAGAAGCGTAACAAAATCATCTCTGAAATTCGGGAGCTGAAGTTTAGCTGAAGGTTCACAAATGTACCTCTATCCCATCTTTCTTTTTACCCTTAAAAGGAAAATTTCTTAGAATTATTATAATAATAGGAGGTATTCCTAACTGTAAATTTAAATAATATATCATCAGGGATAACTCCCACATGTGAACTTTTGTCATTTCTGAAAATTCTTTGCAGCTGTTTATGGAATGTGGCCTTAGGGATTTATAACCTTTTTTAGGTGATTCTGTTAAACATTCCCCTTTTTCTCAATTTGAAGCTGAAACAGTTTCCTGTTTTATATTCTGTTACTTTTGTCCTAAAAATGGTGTTTTTGAAAGCTATTGAAAAGCAGTTATAAGAAAGTTATAAATGACATTATAAATTTATGGAACAATCCTTGTTCAATTATCCATGACGGTATGGGTTTAGGTTTCCCTCCTGAAAAGGCACCTGTGCCCAGGGTTCTGTCTTGCCACGGCCTGGCTGCCTGTTGCTGACCTGATGAAAGTTATGACAAGCATCACACCTTCACAGTCTCTCCAGACATACTAGTTGTTGTCATAAACTTCACACTCCAAGCCAGTTATTTGACTTATGCCATTGCACTTTGAAACTACTTAACAGATAGTAAATGTCAGTGCTGATGGTGTGCACCCAACGGTGGCTTTTAAGGCACCTGTATAAATATTTGACTTTTACAGTTGTGTGGTAACTCTTTCTGCTTTCTGATACTTGGAGTTTCAGGTTATTGAAATTGCATAAATTCTTGAAATATTTAGGCATTTTGGGTTCTCTTCTGCTAAGTTTAGATGTTTTATTATGTATAGTACATTCTCTTTTGTGCTTACCAAAAAGGATTACAAGAATATGTATGCCTGGGTCAAGCTGATGGAAAGTGAAGTAAAATTATGAGATTTGGCTTATCCATATCACCACTTCTTCACAAGTCAAGTATATCCTTTATTTTAAACTCTTAATGGATTAGCAATTATTGTGAAGTCTGTTTTCAGGAAACCGGGTAACCAGTTCATTTGATGGGGACAAATAGTTTTGAGTAAAGTGCCTTATTATTACTCCAGTTTTCCTTGAAGCTGTTAGGTCTTTAAGTATTTGGAGCTATAAATTTGACTAATTATAAATATTTCTGGATCACAGTATTAGAGTTTTAAAAGATATTCTTTGAGATCAGAGTCACCATGATATACTCAGTTTAAATTTGATTTATTTTTTTTCAGGGAAATGAAGTGACTTTAAGTCTTCCTGACTATAATAGCTTAAGCCACGATGGGGGAGGATATTTGGAGTAACTATTAACTCTTGTCAGTTTGGCACACATTTACCAAACCTATGGAAAGAGAGATGTTACACAGGCCAATAGGAGTGTGTGGTGTGTGGATTCTTCTGCAGCATCAAATTACAAATCCTGAAAGAAAAATGATTTGATATATATGGGTCTACAGTACTTTTGAACTATTAAAGCCATTTAATTAGAATGGTCAGGATGATTTACCCAGTCATATTTCTTATGTTATTCTGTTAAGAAAAAGAATTTTGTGTTTCCGATAGTCTATCAGAATTTGTCAGGTTATCTCTGATTATATAGATACTTATGCTGATTTAGTTGGGAGAGAGTGGGGGATTTTACAGGAACATAATTTCATTCAACAAGTAGTGATGCTAGAATACTGCAGTATTATTTTAAAATATATTCAAGCTTTTGGAGGGAGATGACATAATGCATACTTTGCTGGGACGTGATCAAAGCTTTCATTGCTCCACCTCGTATTAACTAAGTTTAGATGAGTTTCTGAATCCCTCTATAAACCTCCATTTTTCAACTCTAAAATGAAGATAATACCATCCGTCTACTTCATAGGGATGTTTGTGGGCCCCAAATTAGGGCCCAGCCAAATAGTAGTGTAGTGCTGACATTTAACTGAATGTTTGATTCCTGAAAATAGTAGGAATACTAGCACATACAGTATTTACTCAGTGTTTATTGTGTGCTAGCCACTGCTAAGCTTTTTAACTGTGATCTCATTTTATTCTCCCATTAGTCCTATGAGGCAGGTGCTATTGTTATCTTCCAGTTACAGATGAGGAAATTGAGTCAGACAAATTGCTGTTAAGTGTGAGCCAGGATTTGAAGCGAGACAGTCTGACTCTAGAACCTGTGTCCTTAATCATTCCTTTAAACTGCCTCGACTCCTGGGCATGTTCAGGGGTCCTTAGGTGGAGTTCATGGAGGTGCAGAACCTCTTTGCCCAGTGTTTATTTTTCAGGCTGATGACCAGTCTAATCCTGGGGAAATCACCCTGTCCGTGATTCCTTGTCCCCCTCCCCAGGAGTGTTATTTTGCAGGTTTACTGCCTCATTCACCTCTTATTTTGCTCACCAGGGACACCCTTGACCACACCAATTGGTGTTTATGGTGGGCCATAGATCTTGGCCAAATGGTCTGGTGCTTAAAAAAAAAAAAAAAAACTGCATTCAACAAAGGAGAAGAAGGTGGGATGGATTCATTGCCTCTTGGAGGATTAGGGGGCTGAGGTGGGCAGGCATCAGAGATGGGGTGAGTGGTTTTACGAACTCCCAGTAGAATTTTGCTCATTTGCTATTCATGGATTGAATGTTACCCAGAGATAACCTAAGAGATTTACCGCCATGCAAAGCCACTTTATGTTAAAGCCTACTGATAGACCCTAATCTGTGGCTTACAGCCAGGGTCAGGTGTTGAGCAACCTGTACCTTCTAACTGAAGAAAAAGAATCTTGGGAGGTGGGGGTGAGAGTGAGGAGGAAAGGGTGCCAGCTGGGTATATCATTGAGGTCAGAGTTGGCTTTCAGCTCTCCACACCCCCTTGGTGGCATGTTATTAGGTTAGGAGGAACTTGGTATTATCTTTTTTTCAAAGTCAAAATAAGTAATTTCTATCAACCCACTGCTAGAATGTAAACTCCTCAAGAGTCTTCATTGCTTATTATTGCTTTTCAATCGGTAGGGGTAAGTCATGTTGATAAACCCTTGATATGGTGCATGACAATGGCATTTTATTTTTGTGGTCTTCAAAAACGTAGTAACTCCAGGCTAATTTTGAGAAAAAAACCTACTAGATGCCAGTAGAGTGACATTCTGCAAAATATCTGATCGGTATGCCTCAAAACTGCCAAGGTCCTCAAAAACAAGGAAAGTCTGAGAAACTGTCATGGCCAAGAGGAGCCTAAGGAGATGCCATGATTACATGTAACCTGGGTGGGATCCTGTAACAGGAAAAGGACATTAGGTGAAAACTAAGGAAATCTGAATAAAGTATGGATTTTAGTTAATAATCTATCAATATTGGTTCATTAATTTTAATAAATATAACATACTAATGGGGAAACTAAGTGTGGGATATATGGCAACTCTGTGTACTAACTTTGCATTTTTTCTGTAAATCTAAAACTGTTCTAAAAAATAGTTTATTTTTAAAAATTTAAAATTTTAATTTTAAAAAATTACAAAAAAAATCACACGAAACAGTTGGAAGTGTTTTCTTTAGTCAAAGTGTGACCATGCTATGTAATTATGGGCTTTTTTCTTCATATGAAAAACGGGTGGGCAAACTGTGGCCCAAGGGCCAAGTCCTGGCCTGCAGCCTCATTTTGTATAGTCCTCCAGCTAAGAATGTGTCTTACATCATGAAAGGGTTGTACACAAACAAACAAAAATAAGAGTATGTGACAGAGGCCAGGCGCGGTGGCTCACGCCTGTAATGCTAGCACTCTGGGAGGCTGAGGCGGGTGGATCGCTCAAGGTCAGGAGTTCGAGACCAGCCTGAGCAAGAGCGAGACGCCGTCTCTACTAAAAAATAAGAAAGAAATTAGCTGGTCAACTAAAAATATATATAGAAAAAATTGGCCGGGCATGGTGGCGCATGCCTGTAGTCCCAGCTACTTGGAGGCTGAGGCAAAAGGATTGCTTGAGCCCAGGAATCTGAGGTTTCTGTGAGCTAGGCTGACGCCACGGCACTCTAGCCCAGGCAACAGAGTGAGACTCTGTCTTAAAAAAAAAAAAAAAAAAAGAATGTGACAGAGACCGAATGTAGCCCACAAAGCCCAAAATGTTTACTTTTTGGCCC